CTGTTGTTGTTGTTGTTGTTGCTGCTGCTGTTGTTGGTGCTGTAGCTGCCGCTGTTGCTGCTGTTGTAGCTCAAACTGTTGTTGTTGAAACTGTTGCTGCTGTTGTTGTTGTTGCTGCTGTTGCTGCTGCTGTTGTTGTTGTTGTTGTTGCAGATGGAGATGAGATGCAAGATGAGAGGGGCTATTGACGCAAAGGTTGCTGTTGCTACCACCATTAGGAGAGCGAGCTGGAAGAACATTGGCATTTGAACCGATAGAAGCGCAGCCAGGCTGGCCGACTTGTTCACCTATAGTCGAGTTTGGCGGGTTGTTATGACTAGTGTTATTGATGCCACTATTGGCATTATTGTTTATGTTGTTTGTTGGAGTGCTGTTCGAGTTTCCACTACCGAGGTTGCCTTCCCGATGCAGATACTTAGCCGGATCTTTGTAGCCATAGTAGATGAAGCCGTCTGACAAAAAGAATAAGCTCAAAATAGTAGCAAGCTACATAACTTAGGAAGGAGGGATATCGAATTGATATGTGCTTTTCCATTTCTAAAAGATCACAGTAAAGGTAAGGTATTTAAATTTAAAGTTGTCATTTGATAAGATGATTTGTACCAAATATCATCATACAGGTACACTTTGTTTCTGGTAAAAGCACCATTTTAATTTAACCTCAAAGGGATTAATTCACCAGAGTTAAGAACATAGCATTCAAAATGCCTACTCAGTGAATTATAATCAAGGCTAGAACAGCACTTTCCAGCCACATTGAGAAAAATTAATAACAAAAACCAAGTTTCTAAATACTATCTACGTAATATAATTAATACTTATAATATTTCTTCCCTGGCTTTCCTTACTTTTCACCAAAATTTATTATTCCAGCTGCTTCTTGGCTGGTGTAGCGCACGAAATAAGTTCCCGCTACCAATTTATTCGACTACTTTGTATGCATTTTCAAGCATTCTCGCAGTCGTCGACTTTACTTTAAGCTCATGACTAATATTTTGTCAGTGTTTATCTTGCCATTGATGGCCCCGTTACCCCAAACAGAAATTAGACCAGTCCACATGTGGACTATTGTTTTGTCTAGAACGAGGACATATCAAAGGCCAGGCTTGCCTGAAGCCTCCTCCATTTTTTCAATGGTAATGCAATACCGACCTCAGAAGTAGCTTTAGTAAATATTTTACTCTAAATTATTTACTGCAATTATGAGTACAAGGCAAAATTAGCTATTTCTAATAGTATACTTTAAAGCTCTGTGTAAAGAAACAAGGCGCACAAGGCTGATAGATTTTGCTGAGACTGTGAATGTATGGTTTATTCTGCTTTTTTAACTGGCTTGACAAGTAGCCTAAAAATAGTGGATCCCTCGAGGCTGGGATGAAGCTAATTCGGGATACCAAAATGCCGTTTAAATCCTTCACCAGAGATGATTAAAGCAAGCAAAAAATGGTGATGATTGTGGCTTTTCTAGAATATAATGCAGAATTAACATTTTATGTACCCCATATTCATCTTATGATTGAGCGTACATCTGAGCTAACATAACCAATCGCGAATAAAAATATCAGTAAGAATTCGTTAAGAGTTATCAGGCGTCCGCGTGGTTGACATAATTAGTACTGAGTGGAGAATAAGTTTGCCAACCAGATACCAGCTAATAGATAAAGTGATGGTATCTGGTTGAATATTAATTTATCCGCAAAAATATTTGAAATATTTTAATGCCGCTTGATACTTACTCTGCGACTGTTGATGTTTCCGTTTTCGGCGAATATGCTCACGACGCTGGCGCCAACAGCAAAGAGAGACAATCACAACGACGGTAACTAGCATAAGAAGGAGGAGGCCACAGAGTACAATATACATTATACGATTGTGGAAGAATAGGTCAAGCAGGTTATATTTTCCAGCATAGGCAGCGGCCTGTAAGAAGAAAGGAAAATAAAAAAAAGAAAAATGAAAAGACAAGTAACTGGAGAATTGAAACGAAAAGAAGCACTAGGAGGAAGGAAACTAAAGTAATTTTTTTTATATTTGTAAGTAGGTGGAGGAGTTGAAATTGGATTTTATACTCGATAATAAACATTTTTTTATTACCAGAAGAACCAACTTCAGCTGACCTACCGCGAGATTCGCATAATGAGGCTTCGAGAATCGCGTGATCCGTCTTAGTTGACCGTCCCCGTGGACACCATAAACAGCAATCTGGTAATTGAACTTTTCGTTCAAATTTGATATAACTCCATCCTGTGAAGGGAATGCAAGTAAGTGATTATGGTGAAGTGGGAGCATGTAGGCGACAACAAAAGTTAAGTGATTAATGATACAGACATGATATTTGCTGAAAAGTTTCAGCCTTATTTATAATGAATTACACAAAATGTCAGATCCAAATTTCTTTACCTAGCATTGGTTTTTTTTGGAGGCTATAATAAAATAAGCATGAGTCAGAGTGGTACAGAATTTAATCCATTAAAGACATTAAAATGCACTTTGTAATCATCTATTTTCTGTCAACCTAAACCTCATTTAAGATCATGTTTTTTTACCAAAATGAGTAGTCCTTAGTGAAGATGCTTACATTGACAAACTCACTTACAAAAAACATTGATTGACAGAGGATGAAGGAAATTTATTTAAAAAATTAACAAATGAAAATATAGACCCCAAAAGTATAAATATTAAATATTATTTAAGTTTTCCCACAATTATATGACTAAGCCTCACAATTCCATTAAATTTAAACTAGCCATATCTCCAAAAAAATATTGTGAGGCCTACTCGTATTATTGTGGTTAAAATCCAACTATTAGTGCTTCCTCTTATTCAAGCCCCGATTTCGAAACCTATTAACGATCGATATAGAAGTGGGTTGACTTCGTTGTCGCAACTTGGTCTTGTTTTCAGGGAGACCATGTAGAACGCACCTAG